AATGGTTTAAGAGAGAGTAATAAGGGTCTTGCTTTACAGGTGTACCCATCCCCCTCAACCCTCCACAGCCTCATCTTGCACTAGAGAACAAGTGTCAATAAGGACTGTTTTTTTGACACGTGTGCATGATGTACACGTACCTTGTACAACTACGGTGGTCTGTGTCATTTATTAGCACCTCTGTTGAATGAATTGGGTGACTTCCAAAAAGCCTTTGACTAAGTGCAGCGACAGCTGTGTTGTCTTATTTGTGTATGGACGACCCAGTCTGTGTTCTCAGGTCAAAGGTCACTGACCTTGATGGAAAGAGAACATAAAGGAAGAGATCAACGGAAAATCAATCTGGTCAGCTGTGTTAATCTTACAAAAGCTATTGGTACGTCGGACACATTTCGGAGGTTGTGCTAAGAATGTAATTATGAACTCTACTCAGTCAGTGGGCAAACATGATCTGAAAGGCCTAGACAGAAGCGCTTTGTGGCTCTTGCAATTTCATTTTAATTACAACAATAACATTGCGCGTAGGGAGAATAGAAAGGTGGTTCCTCATTAAATGTGTACAAAGGCACTGAGTGTACCAGTTACTACTCAAACACTACCAGTGGGGTGATGGAGATTGTATGTCTTTTCTTTGGCTGGAACCTTCTTGTTTTTATTTAACCTGGTGCTATAATGGTGTCCACAAAGGGGTCAAATTGCCAGGTGTAACAGATAAAAACATGTTTAATAATTTTATTATGAGGGAATGTTGAACTTTCCCCCGTTGAGGAGGTAAAAGAACAAAAAGGGGCATGAGAATTTGAAAGTTTCTGCTGAAAGGCTGTTGGCCAGACCATTCTTAAAAAACATCTTTAATGCAGGTGTGAAATTCTAATGAATGACTGGGTATTATTTAGGAAGAAAGGGAAATTGTCCCCTTATTAAACTAATGTTCTTTGATTATGTTAGATGTGATGATTTGTTTATGTACAGAATCAGAGAGGTTGCAACGGAAATGAAAAATACACAGTAATCTTTGTGCAGCCTCATAAAAGGGAATAAAGAGAAATAACTTGCACTATTTTTTTACCTCCCCTGGCAAAGGTCCTTTGAAAAAGCAAAGGTATACGTGACCAGTCAATTACTTGAAGATTGTGTGAGTTCTTACAACACAAAATTTTAAAGAAATTTTCAAAGCTGTTTTTATCACCTTGTATACATTTTACGTAACCTTTTACAGAAGATCACGCATTTCCTAAATCATTTAGCAGAGTAAGTGATGACATAAGAGCCATGTTTGAAATATGATTTTTCACTTTATGGCAGTCCATGGTTCGTACGACCTTTGAAGTATCACTTCCGTGATCACCTCTCACACATAAATTTTTCGATATGAATTTTATGTTAAGGATGTTTGGTGTAATAAACATCAAATCTGTCAGTGGAGTCAAATTATTTCAATTTCTAAACAGGTTCCACCCACTCTTCTACCTATTTTCCCATGCTAATTATCCTCAAATAGATATTTGGTGAAGACATTCCCAAAGGTCCTTGTTTGCTGGAAAGGAGAGAAGTTCTTTGTGGTCGGAAAATGTGGTTTAACTTTCCCACCCAGACCATTTCCCCTACCACAATAGATTTTCAGAGCAAGGTCCAGTCTGAAAATGTTTATACCCCATTGAAAGTTTTAATTACTCGTGGTTGTGGCCAGTTTGGGGTAAAGGGGAGGTTTTAAGAAAATCTGGTAATCATTATTCTTCATGGTTTAGGTTACCGAGCTGCAAAGATTAGGATATATCACGTCTGCTTTGATTAAAAACTAAATCTCATATAGTTTAATGTAGGTTTTAAATTCAAATTTAAAAAAGAAGTCTGTTAACACTATTTATATTTCTTACGATTATATATATATATATATTTTTTTTTTTTTCAATTCTCTGTCCTTCCTTTTGTAACTTTTACATATTTTCACATCAGTGATTTATGATGCAAGAAAGACTTGCTGCACACCAGGGTTTTATTTTCAAATGTTAATGTACTTTATTACGAAATAAAGGAAAATCATTGTTGATTAAAACATTTGATAATATATGTGTCTGAAGCAGTTGGGTAGACAGCACATATTCGCATTAACTTAAAGTAGGTGAGAAAATAACAATTTACAGAATCTGATATTTTAGATTTTTTTCATCCGGAGGCATTTGAACTATTCAGAAAACATTGATCACATTAATGTACTTGGGCCCTTTGGCTTCCTGGCTATTAATAACCTGAATAACCGCTGTCCCACACCCTGTCAAAATTATTACTACCAAGTGGTCAAAAGTGTGAAAAGAAATAATAACCTTTGTAATTTGGCTCAAGTACAATATAAGAGGGTCCTTATCTTGCAGAATATCTGGGTCTTACTTTATTTTATTTTATTTTATTTTATTTTATTTTATTTTATTTTATTGAGTTTATGTCTGAATTTATGATGATGATGACGATGATGGTGTGCCTTTTATGAATTTTTTACTTGAATGAATATTATATTTCCTTTTTTTTTATTAGTTTTGATTTTTTTTTTTTTTTTGCTTCGTTTTTGAAAAAAAAATGAAAAATGGAAAATCATGCATATAATTCACAATTTTCAAAATTTTCTCAGCTTCTACTGTGAAATACTTGTAAGTGTTTCAAGTGTACCATTATCTAATGAGTCTAGAATGAAGAAAATTCACTGAATAGTTTAATAATTTACAAAAATAACAGTTAATGAACTTGTGTATAATTTGAATATTTTCAATCAATTTTCTGCTATACTTGTGAATGAATGAATCTGTTTATAAAGAGGACTCTTTTCAAGGGTGTAATGTGTATTCAGCTGAAGTCCATCTGCAGTAGCAATATCAGTAACTTTTGGCCTATTGATGAATCTGTTTGTTTTGAATGCTGTTAAAATATTTACAGTAGTGAAAAAAGATAGAAAGAGTATAATAGCTTATTGATTATCTTGATACAAAATAAATTTTCTTTTTGTCAAAAAAAAAAAAAAAAAAAAAATATATATATATATATATATATATATATATATATATATATATATATATAAAGAAAAAAGGCTGAAATGGGATCCGAATGGAACTAAATATTAACATATCCAAGAAGAGAAGTGTTTTTTCAAATAAAATCTCAGTGTATCAAGACTGTTTTCCCCCAATCAGTTATCCTAAAAATATGAATCAAGCTTCCTGACTTTCAAAAATGAAAAAAATGTACAGATATTCACCTGGGATGGGGGGAGGTTAAATTAGATTAATTTACTCTATCACATTCTTTGAACAATACATAAAATTCATGTCATGACGTCTTCTGCTGTCAGTGAGCCTTATGCTTACAAGCCACACTTACATCTATTCAGTCAGTCAGGAATATAACCTGCAAACGTCTTGCTACCATGGTGGGAATATTTTTTCAATTTGCGATGTTTTCATATCCTGAAAAAATCCCATCGCTACCAGACCTCTGCATGTGTGCAAACAGAAGGTCATTCTCAGTTCTGTTTCTTCAAATGCTCAATAAAAATAGTCAAATCATGAACAAATACCATTTGTTTTTCTAATTGGCCAGCACCTGCAAGGGGCCATCAGACTTTATGATATTTCTGCACCAATTGTCAAAAACTTCAAAGTCAGCAGTTATGACTTTGGTCATATTTTACCATTCAGCTTGTCAAAGCAAAGAAAGCGCTCTCAGATACACTTTTATGGAAATCAGATACTCCTGTATGCCCAAAATGAGTCTCTGGTCACTGGTTGGAGCTTTTTCCTTTTCACTATAATGGTTCGTTAAAATTTAGGAGCTTTCACCAATGAAGCAGCCAGTCATTTGTGGGCCATTAGTGGGGCTTCTGGCTATTACTGCTAACTTGATGTTTGAGATAGTACAAGATGACCAGATCAGTTGTTGAAAATGAAATGAGTTATTTTTTGCTTTCATGTTAAAATTCTCAGATCCAGCTGTTGATGTAGATGGTATGATGTTTTTTTGGGGGGGAAGGGGATGGCAGATATTTGAACAGATGAGAGGGAGGTTGAAGGAACAGCCATATGCATTTCAACCGCTTTAAACCCAAATTTTTTGATCCAGTGAAGACTAAGAAAGGACGGGTGACAAAAAATTAAATAAAATAAATAAATAAATAAATAAATAAATAAATAAGAAATTTTGTGTTCCCACATTTTGCCACTCTTTCTCCAGGTATTCCTTATGCTTACAAAATATTTCCATGTATCCTTGCACTGTTACATAGTTATAACTTCACTCTTTTTTGTTTAATAATTCCATATTTATTAAAGAAATTTTGCTCCGTTTTCTTTTTTATGTGATATATATATCTGTGTATATTTGGCACTCAGGATCAATTTCTATTTAGCTTCATCCACAAGTGTGATGGTTGCAATGGTTGTCAATGCACAATCTATAAATTGAGTCCACAGATTTGTAAGGTGTGAACAGCAAATTAATCCAAAACAGAATTTTTTACTCACCTTCTGTGACCTGTTGTAGGTGAAAAATTTCCTAAAAGTGGTACAAAATCAAGTAGTATTTAAGCTTTACTCGTTGTTATGTGGTAATATAAAAAAAGATAATAGCTACATGTATTTCTCTCTAAAAAAAGTAGCTAATTTATAAAAAAAAAAATAATGAAGAGAGTTGCAAACTGAAAGTATTCCTAAGAAAGATGAAAAATGGATTTTAAGTCACTGTACACACAGTAAGGTGACATGAGGGTTTTACAATTTCAGAATATTCAAGTTATATTTAGTAAAAAAAAAAATCATTTTTAAAGTGGCTTGGACCTTACAATACATTCTATAGCTCTAAATACATAACTAAAACTACTGTAACAATTAAAAAAATAAAAGACATAATATATTATTCATTAAAGATAGGATTTACTAAACAACTGTTAACTGCAAAATTAGCATCCCTTTGAGAATTGGCTTTTATTTTTTAAACAACTTTCTTTTTGCTTTCAGAAAAAATCTCAAGTGAAGAGCAAATTTAAGGCATCAGTGACTTCAAAACCATACCAGAAGAAAGACATTCCACAAATGAAATCTCACTCAGAGTGATGACAGTAATATGTGCATACTTATTAAAGATACAATTTTATAAAGAAGAACATACCAGAAGAAAGTTAATTAATTTCATACTACACCTGGAAGAAAAGATTGTGCAAAGAGCTAAACCAAGAGTTTTCAAAAGCAGATGCCTTTATATTTGATTGATTGTATTTTTGTAATACCGCTTAAAACTGTTTTTACTTTTACAGAATTAGTTCTCATAAGCAATTTTAAAGTTTAATGGCTGCAAGCAGCTTATCTAATGCCATGGAATGAATTTATTTATTAAAGCTTATATACAAAAGATGTTTATTTTTACTGTGAAGAATAATTTGTCAAAAGTTTTTTTTTTTTTTTTTTTTTCTGTAGCTGCCTTAAGTTTATTCATGTAAACACAATAAATAATGAAAAAAAATAAATAAATGCAGCAGAATGCAGCCATACCAAGGCCTTGGGAGGACGAAAGGATGAATCCCTACTTTTGGTTTATGGCTTCATAAGATCATCATTTGATGACTACTAATTAATACTCTTTTCACCAAATTTCACAGATATTGAAGTAGTCAAATGTTGGTCTTCACTTTATTACTCTCAGTGAACCTGCAGTTTACTAGTACATTAACATATATTGCTGTAATAAAATGGTCAAAATGTTGTCCACCCCTACCCCCACCCCCTTTTACATTTTTGAGCCAAACTCAATCTTAGTGACTTATGGTAGTTTAAAAGAAATCAGAATTTTTTTCCAGCGTTAGGTTAAGACTGACTTTTGAATTAAGTCTTTTATGAGTTGGGGTCTTGATAATTACTTGCTAACTAAATGCCTTATTTACAAACAAACTACTGACACTTGATGTGTACATAGAACTGTTACCCAAGCTTAAACCTGTGACAGAAAATAGATAGTGGCAGAGTCTTTTTATTGTGGATAGTTCTAGTTCCATGTGTCACTAATGTGGCATGTGCAGAGGAAGTCGAGCTGGGCTGACACGTAATTGCTTTGTTAGAGCCAAGTTTTTCAAAGTCAAAATTAGGTGATGATGCCACTTGGACATGCAGTAATTGAGCATTTTGACTGAAGAGTGCTTAGAAAAAGGAAAAACTCAAATGCTGGGGGGATTGACATTTCTTTATTAATTTAGCTATACTGTAGTTCACATGTCAAAGCTATGAAAAAAAAATTGGTTTGCATGTGCTCATTTTACTACTTTAGTGTGATTTTTTGGGCATTTTTTAAATTATGGCAATAATTTTATGAGAAATGTTGTTTACAGTTTTGTATTTGATGACAGAAAATAAAAAAAAAAGATTTCAAAATTTTAGCCTTTCAAATGAGAGCATATCTCTTTCAGGTTTTACTGGCATGTTTTTGTGTCATTTTATAAACCTGTGTTGTTGCATTATTGTTTTGATAAAAGACAAATGCACACAGATTAAGGTTTAGTTAAAATTTATTAAAGGAAGTTTTTGCATTTTACTGGGGTATACCCATTTTGACTTAAAAAATTCAAAACAAATTGTTAAAATGCAATTCGCCAAATGGGTGGGGGGAGGGATATATTAAATCAGATATTCAAATACAAGGGGAAAAATATTTAATAATTAATATCGTTGTTATTAAAATTCTTCACAATGTATGCGACCACGTGCAGGAAATGCCAAACAAATCCTTAATGTTGTGTCGTCACACATTCCTTATCACGTTTGCTTTGACCGAGGTCACGACCGAACAAGTGCCCATTTCCGCCTGATCCATCCGCCATTGGAAACGCTGCTAAACCTCTTATATTTTGAAAATTGCATATTAATGTAAAAAACTTCAATGCAAGGTATTAAAAATATTCGTGTTTTTCGTGCAACCATAAGATAGTTAAACAAAATTAGCACGACAAGGCGGGATTGATAAGTCATTAACGGACTATATTTCTGTGCGTAGCTGTATCCGCGCTTTCAGCTGAGTGATTAGCCGTAGGCCATCGTATTCTTTAGAGTATGCGGTGATTTGTTCATAATTCGGTGTGTTAAGTCGGATCCCAGTACTCACTCTAGCTGGGGATGGGAAAGTGATATGGGTTGTGTGAGTTCCAAGCTAGTTCCGGAACCCCCGGTTCTAGGAGAGGGAGAAATCGTGAAAACCGTCTATGCTCCTAATGATAACAACGATAGACAGGGCAAGAATGGCCGAAACAGACAATCTGGCCAGAGGGGCATCCGAGGCCAACAGAACGCTGGAAGGGATAATAACAACCAGGATGGTCCCCCAAGAGGCAAAATTGCTAAATACAAGGCGAGATTCGATCCTCGTGTCACAGCTAAGTATGACATTAAAGCTCTGATAGGCCGAGGAAGTTTCAGCCGAGTTGTACGAGTAGAACACAAAATCACTAAGCAGCCATATGCTATAAAGATGATAGATCGGGTACAGGGGAAGGAAGTATTCGAGTCCGAACTAGCCGTACTCAGAAGGGTAAAACATGACTATATCATTCAACTGATTGAGGTGTTTGAGAGCAAAGATAAAGTGTACATGGTAATGGAGCTAGCAACTGGAGGCGAGCTCTTTGACCGGATAATCTCCAAGGGTAGTTTCACAGAAAAGGATGCTAGTAAAAATCTGAAAATGGTCATGGAAGGACTGCGTTACTTACACAATCTAGGAATAACACATCGAGATTTGAAACCAGAAAACTTGCTGTACTATCACCCTGGTCATGACTCCAAAATCATGATCACAGACTTTGGTCTAAGTGCCACACGTAAAGCTGGAGAAATGTACATGAAAACAACGTGTGGAACGCCCGAATACATTGCCCCTGAAATTCTGGCACGGAAGCCATATACAAACATTGTGGACCTGTGGGCAGTTGGAGTTATCACTTATATTTTACTAAGTGGAACGATGCCTTTTGATGATGAGAATAGGACTCGGTTATATAGACAGATTCTCAAGGCCAAGTATTCATATGCAGGAGAGGTAAATGTTACATTTCTGATCTCAGTTGTTTTCAGGTTTGTAATGAAGATGAGCAGTGAAGTCCATATCCCCACCCCCTCCCATAGAAGCATAATACATAATTAGCACATCATTTTAGTATTTCATTAACAAGATTGTATGTTTTGAATGCTGTATGTTGCTAGTGTGGTTGTTACACAGTCCAGTATGTTGTAAGTGCATTGTCAAAAATTTGAAACTTTAGTACTTATGTTCTTGGGACGTCATGTCAAGTGTCCAGTCATGTCGTAGTTTTCAACAATCCTTGACCAATGCTATAGCAATCCTTTACCTGGAGGTGCCTTGTGCACTCACTTGCCTACTATCCCTTTTTCCTAGTTAAGCAAAGATTTATACCTCCCTTTTCGTGGCTTACAGTACTTTGTGATTAAAGAAGAAAAAAAAAGAAAAGAAAACCTGCACCTGGTTTGAATGTTCCATAGATAAGGTGTGTTAGGATAATGATAGCTAAACTTGGGTTTTCAAATCTGTACCAGTGCATCATTATCCTAGCTTGCGTAAGGTAATTCTATTGTCAGCTGTCTGTGAATAGTGCTTGTACAAATGCTACAGTGGCGAGGGTCTGTCCCAGGGCATGTTCTGTACACCTAGGAAAAGGTTGGGTAAACTTCCAACACAAATTTCACACTATATTTTTAGTAAAGTCCTGGTAACTGAAAGAATGCAACCTTTTCTTTCCCTTCTCAGAACTGGAGACTGAAGAATTGATGCTATCCCTTCATTCCCTTGTGATGTTTTAAAAGAGAAAATATAAAAAGAGAGGCGTCGGATTAGTCTTTTGTTGCTTCGTGCTAAGTTGTAAAAGCATGGAGAGATGAGTAACGTTTCTTTATGTGGGAAAACCTGCAATTCTGAAAGGTCACAGGTTTGCAAAGAGAGTGTGTGTTGATACTTGTATACATGTTCATCAGGGTGCAAAATGTGGCTTTCAGAGGTTGCCTTGATTGTTGGCAGGGCTGAGTCTCCATGAATTGGAAAATAAAGGCAATATAATGGCCTTTTCTTATCCTGTCTAAACAGTATGGTTTCATCAGGTCTCGGACAAAGAAAGAGGTTAGTATAAAATGGCCTCGTACGTCTTTCTTTCCATTATAGAGGTTTCAGTGAAAGCACTGACTCGTATTGTGTTGTAATAGATTTCAGCATTGTGCCCACTTACAGGGTCGTAAGAGAAATACTGGCTAATAAGTTTGCCTCTTGAATCTGAAGAAAGGAAGTCACATTGACAACATAAAGACAACAATCACCAAGCAAACTTCTCTAAAAGATTTTTCCCACTAAAGCAAATACTCCTGTTTGTCCCAGGGTCTGGGGACTGCCAAAATCAAGTTCATAGGTTAAATGGATATGAGCAACATTTAGCATTTTTCCAGTTATCTGATTATGCATTTCACCAGAGCTGGCCGTGGTTGTTTCTCTACCCATTCTGCAACTGGAAACTTGAACCCACTTCTAGTGTAAGTTTGCCAGGTTAGTGAAATAGAAATCCACAAGAATAAACTGCCCCTTGCCACAGTTAATAATAGTCAAATAACACCCTTCCTTTATTATGGCAACCTGGGCTTACTCTCATATTGTTCAAGTTGGTCACTATATTTGTATTTGGATAAGAGGAAGATTGTTTGTTTTATAAAATGGCTTTTTCCGTGCTTGTCTGAGACAAACATACCTTGAATCCCTTCACTCGAGGAGAAAATGAAGGATGGTGGTAAACTTGACCCTGAGTTTGACTACTTAGAATAGAGGGGGTTGACATTTTCTGTTTTAATAAGATTGTGTTGCTCTTGCCAGGCGCCCCCATATGCTATGTTCCCACTCCTTTGCATAGGCAACATTTACCTAGAATGGTTGAAATGTATTGAACCAAAATGGTCTACCACTATTCATGATGTTTAATTTTGAATAAATCCATACAAATATGCAGTCAAGAAGTTACCTATGGAATTAAATTTGATTAATAGCCACTTAAGATTGTTTGCTCAAACGGCTGTTTTTTAGATGCTTCTTCATAAAATCTCATTTAGTCAGGTGCAGAGAAGTCTTCCGAAGAGCAGATACAGAGTAACATTGCTTGTTCTTTTTATGTACAGACACAGATGTGTCTGTACATATTGCCATCACCTGCGTCTGTCGTCGCCGATGCCGATGCCGATGGCGATGCCGATGCCGATGCCGTCGCCGGCGCCGTGCACTTTCCTTGTAAACACGATAAGTGGAAGGCAGTTTCACTTTTTGGCTTAATATTTACAGAGCTGATGAATATTCATAAAACGCAGGTCAAGTTCGAAAATCAGCATGATCGGGCCATTTTAAGGGAAGTTATGCTGTTTTTTCACTTTTTTCAGCATATATGCAACCCTGTAAACACATTTTAAGGAAAACCTTTAGGCCTGTTGTCATGAAACTCACAGTAGTGGTCAATCTTACTAAAATGGAGGTTGAGTTCAAAAATCAGCATAATCAGGGCATTATTTTAGAAGTTATGCTGTTTTTTCACATTTCCTCAGATTCAACTCTTAGGCATGTTAACAGTCTCATTATTGAACTAATAAGATACGTAAAAGTGTTTGTTTGACATTTCCTGCATCTTTACAACATTGTTAGTTGATTATGTAAAAATGATGGTAAACTTGTTATCGTGTATTGTGTAATAAAGTGTCAAAAATGGAAATAAACTCATATCATTGCAGTTTGTCAGATTTAATCATTCACTATGTTCAGAATCTCAGAATGGAGGAAATTAGACATTTAACACTATTCTATTGATATTTTCCCCATCTCATCAATTTTCTTAGTTGATCATATAAAAATTGCAGTAAACTGTTTATTTTGTTTTATGTTAAAAAAAGTGTTAAAAATGGAAATAAACCCATGTCAGAACAGTGCTGTCTTGTTTCACATTTCCTCAGATTCAATTCTTAGGCATGTTAACAGTCTCATTATTTAACTAATAAGACATGTTTAAGTGTTTGGTTGACATTTCCTGTATCTTTACAACATTATTAGTTGATTATGTAAAACTGATGGTAAACTTGTTATCATGTATTGTGTAATAAAGTTTCAAAAATGGAAATAAACTCATATCATTGCAGTTTGTCAAATTCAATCATTAAAATTTTGCATCAGAATTGACAGTAGCCCATTTTGTGCATAATTATTTCCTGTTTTTTGTCTGTACATTTGACAGCTTTGCTGCCTTGTTTTTTTTTACGTCACTGTGTTTTGAAAACATACACCTAGAAAACCACTAATGATAAAAAAAAAATACGAGTCTGTCTTTTGTACCCTATGAATAGAAATAAAAAATGTTGAAGTTGGCAATGTGTATAAAATGTCTAATCTAGTTGCCTAGCTAAGCAGCTGTTTTAAATAATGAATCAATATGATCCAGTTGAGTTGAAGAATTGCAGTGGAATTGGAACAATAGATTTTCAATATCGCAGTCAATATAGCAAGGGAAGTTAATAGAGATTAATTTCAGTGCAGGCTATATGGGGCCTCTTAATGAGGCACTTGGTATATATCTTAAAGCAGGGTTGAAGAATATTAAAGAAGTACTATAACCAATCAGAAGTGCTACTAAACACATAGTTTGTCCTGGGTTCAATTGATTTATTTATTATTTATTAATTGTGTGTGTGTGTGTGCAAGAGAGCTTCTCTATGAAAAATAAATTCAAGTTAAACACACATTTTTGGTTTATTTAGGGAATAGGGTTTAAGACGTAGAGTTATATCTGATTGATAGTGTGCAAAGATAAAGCAGCTGTTAACCAGACCAAAAGCTTTTGCAGTATCCATCCTTTACATCAGAATATTTTGAAAATGAATTTTTAAAAATGAAATGATTCTCATTTTATAATGAAGAAATAAAGTAACACAGGATGCACAGGTATGCTGTGTTGCAAAATTGCAGCAAGATTTTCTTGATGTTAAAGCTTGGGAAGGAGCACTGTGCTGTATTTGAGGATACATGGTCCCCTATAGGGTGTAAAATTATTCTCACAATGCCCCTTTTGTAACCAGGTATTGCGAATGAGAAGCCGGGTAATGGGGATTTGAGTGTTACATTGTGTGAGAGTCAGGTTCCTTTTGATGTTCTTTGTGGAAGAAAGATTGCAATTTGATTTTAACAGAAAGAGAGTTCCGTGCTGAATTTGTAGGGACGTTTGCAAGATTAGAAACCACTTTGTTTGTCCTCTTTTGATGTTATTATCCAAGGTAGAAGTCATTTGGCACTTTGGTGACACATTCCTAACTTGGGTGACAACATCTAGACAGATGTTGACTTTCAAGTAAGTCATTGTGTTTTTTTTTTATTTGAAAATCATATGGAATGTGCATACTTGAAAGCCAAATGCAATTTTATGTGGGGTCAGCCCACTGCAGTCAGTAACTGTTACAACAGAAGGAATCAGTTTAAGTTACAAAAATATGAAAAATTTATTATCTAAGAAATAGACTGTAGGAAAATGATGGATGCACTCCTTTACCAGTAAGAGCGGAAGGACTCAATTTCCTTCATACAGTCGTTCAAGGCCGACATTAAATGACTGGAACTACCTTTCTCTGTGAGATAGATCTTTTTCAAGTTGAGCATTTTTGCCATGGTGCCTGCCTCAGACATATAAATGTCACTCTTCATTATTTTGAAACAAGGAAGATATAAACTGCTCTCACTCCTTGCTTTCAATGCAGCACCTGGAAGTGTTTCATCAACTTTCTCCTACATAGTAGACTTGGGAGAGATAATTAATTCCTTTGATCTGAACGGCTGTGGTTTGTCTCTTCTGAGCAGTGGGGAGCACAGGTAATTGACCGAGAGGAGGAGGATGATATTTTAAACATCAGTTGGTTTATATCCAGTGTGTGAAAGGAAAGAAATTAAACTTGAAATCTGCCTGTTGTTTTTACCTGCACAATAACTTTTGAAGGTGCAGTGTGAAAGACGAAATTGCACCT